GCTGCGGGGCTGGGCGCTGCAGCCTTGGGTACTGTGGGGCTGAGGGTTGCAGCCCTGGGCGCTGCGGGGCTGGGGGCTGTGGAGCCGGGCGCTGCAGCCTTGGGGGCCGCAGTGCTGGGTGCTGCAGTGCTGGGTGCTGCAGTGCTGGGTGCTGGGCGCTGTAGTGCCAGGGGCTGTGGTGCCTTGCACTGCGGTGCCGGCTGCCGTGGTGGAGGCCCGGCAGCGGTGAGTGATGCCGGGGTGCCCCGTGGCGGGACACGGGGAGGGCACAGCAGGCTCCCGTGGCCCTGGCCCCACGGCCGGGAGGGTGGCGAGCGCTGGGGGGGCTGCCTGGGGAGCCTCGGCAGCTCCCGGCCTTGCAGACGGACGGAGGCGCTGGGGTCGGTCCTGGCAGCCCGTGCGGGACCTGCTGGAGCAGCCTGGGCACTGGGGGCTCCCGGGGGGCTCCGGGGGTCCCTGCCCACCCCGACCGCTGCGGTTCGGCTGGGGGCTGCAGGGTGATCGGCGTAGGTGCCCAGCAGGGTCCTCAGGCATCGGCTTCGCTTGGGCTGCTCCACGCAGAGCAAGTGGAAAGGGCCACGCGGGCGCGTTGCGTTTGTGCCAATGTGTCCTGCTTCCTCCTGCCCCTCGCATGGGCACGGGGACAGTGTGCGCTGGATGGGCTCTGCCGGCCTTGGCTGCAGCCTCGTCCGGGAGCCCCCAGGGCTGTTGTGGGGCTGGGGGCGCTCGGTCCCCTCCCCAGGGGTTTCCTGCGGACGGGAGCAGCCGTGTCCAGCCCGAGGGTCAGTCCGGGAGCGGTGGGGACGGTGCTGCCCCGGATGGCACCTTGCTCAGAGCAGAGCCCCGTGTGTGCAGGGGTGCCCTGGGCCGGGCAAGGGGGGCCCAGGTGCAGCCGAGCCCCAAAGCAGCCCGGGAGCCCCCGCGTGTCCCCCTGAGCCCTGGGCAGGGAAACGGGAGCCGCAGCCGGCGGGGGCGCGGGACGGGGCGTGCTGTGGGGGGCAGCGGGTGGGGGCTGTGCGGGCCAGGGCTGCTGTGGGAGCAGGGCTGCTCCGCACGGGACCCGACGCTCCCCCCCACCCGGCTCGGCTCGGTTAGGTTCCGCTCGGCTCCTCTCGGCTCCGCTCCACACGCCGGGGCGGGCCCGGCC